TACTTCATGTAGCGTACTAATAAAAGTCGGAGAAAAATAGACAAAGACAGTACACCTTCCAGTAGATCATGACAGCTTGCAACTTTTAGAATTAGGACAAATCAATTTCCAGAAATAGCAGATTTCAAAAAGGCAAGAAATAATTGACTAGGATGCAAGAAGCCTCAAATCTGCTGTAAAAGTGGCAGCGCATAACAAAATTTGAGTTAACTATAATCAAAACAGGCTAGTACAAAACACAAGACAAAAGTAACAAGCAGAACACTTAAAATGAAGTGCAGAAGTCACGATGCGAGGATAGGTTTCACGATCAAATGGGAACATCTTTCACAATAACATTCCGAAAGACCACGTATCACCATTAGTTGAAAAATGAAATTCCGACAAATAAAAATAATGATAGTTGGCGTGCACAAACTAACAAGAGCAAAGTGCCACAAACCACACTAGCGCTTAACTATTTTGTAAAGCTTCGGGCGCTATCCATTTGTTAGGGAACTCGGATGCGTTGTCGTGTGCCGGAGAATTCGCTTCATTGGCCAGACCAAAATTGGGTTTTTTTCTGAAGTGATGGCCTCTAGATCAAAATTGCCAAAACATAACCTTAGTGACATATGCACGGTGAAACGAAGTTGATAAAATACAGCACAGCACGGCAAAATAGCATCAAAATGTAATGCAAAGTGTCGAAATCCACGGCATATTACGAAATTATGGCGCCGCAAACACGTCATGAGACGTTTTCATGAAGTGCCAATCCGCGCCGACTGGCACCGAGGTATTTCGTTACCCTACGGGGTAAAACATTGATGAATACGACTTTCACCTTAGGGTTCAAAATACCTCGGGTATGTTTACCTCAGGGGCAGACAATACCTCTATTTCAATGATGAATCCGGCCCCTGAACAGCTGACGAAACCTCGCAGCTGTGCAGCGTATGTTCCTAACAATAGATTTCTTGTCATTGCTTGGATGCGCGGATAGGAAGTGGTCTAAGATTAAGCTTCTTCCGTGTAAACTTATTACTAGAGTTTGCTTATTAAACTTTGAAGCAAGCATCCATGTCAACTTGAGTTGGACATATAATGCATATAACGGCAATACAGCAATGGCTTCTTATCAGCACGGGCGCCTCTACAGAGGCTAGGATTGGAGCTAAACGTTGTCCCATTGCCAAACCTCTGACCTGCTTGTAGTAATGGCCCAATGGAATACACGACATTTGAGGCATTCGCTCAATAGTGTCATTATGCTGCTTACGTTGAATGCAAATAGGTTAAAAGAAGATTGATGTTTTGGAAGCTCGAAGATCGCCTCCAGTGCAGCGTCGTTTGGAACGTTAGTATGAAGCGACGTGACATCAAAAAATTCTATAACGCATTAAGGAGTCAACTGCGTGTTGCGAAGGCGCTTAAGAAGCATGTTGGTGTTGTAACGCGCAACCATCTGGAAGACGCTACTGTTCAGCCATCTAGCGCAGCTGAGTTTGCAAAGCAATATTGCCACCTAGACAAGATTTGGGTAGAAACGGCTCGCTCTGCTGGACTGCCTAAAAGTATAATTGGGCGCCTTAAAAACGATTCCCCGTCCTTTACACGCATTGCATAATAGGTGGTCTTCTACCCCCCAACTTGTACTTCTATAAGGTGAGTGTGGCTGTGCATGACTCTGGTTAGGTTTTTGGCTCTTATTTTCCAATCGACCATTATCTTGAGTCATGACGTTAACGTCTTTATGGATAGTTCATTAATATGTTCGACTTTCCAGGCTCTGACGAAGGCGATAACGCCGAAACGTTGGTCGAATAAAAAAGTTTTAACATCTTAGTGTTAGCTCAGCATAACAAGAAAGAGTTGTTATCATCATGCCAAGATTAAACAGTAGGACATGGAAGATATCTTCCTTCAATCAACTCTGTTTAAGCTGCACCAGCAGCTTGGCTGTGTCTAATTGAACTGATATCCTATGGCTCACAAAGCGAGACGCAGCATGAAATCGTGATCGATATAATAGACATGCGCTGGTTTCTAATCATCGATGGGTTCTGCTAGAGTTCTACAATGTTGGTTTTTGCGCACAGAGGTTTCCGCCTCACAAGTAAAACTGCACACTTAACTTGTGTTCATTAACACCACGTTCTTCATGTCTTTCGAGAGGTGACACGATATACCGCTTCTTTTGTTGGTTACATGTGTTTTAATATCTACTTATGGTGATGAAGAAAAAGAGGTGCAAGTATTAGCTTGCAACTTCTGCGCGGAAAGCTCTCGAAGCATTGTCAATGTTTAGAAGAAGTCCGTCGGGATGATAGAAACAAGCCACGTCGATAATCGATATCAGCCAAGTCGATTAGCCGATTGTGGATGACTTCTTGTTATTTCTCTCTCTTCGTGTGCTATAAGATAGTACGATTAGATCTACAGACCAAGCTGACCATTTTGTGCAAGGTAGTAAAACGGGAATAGGTTATCTTTCTCATTATGCCCTTTTGTTGGTAAATCCGAAAGAGAGATCGAAGACTAGCTAGGGTTTGATAAAATATTTCGTAGAATATATTTTTTGTGCCCCACTTTAGGCCAACTCAAAACTTATTGCGGATTCGTCAAATCATCAGGCCTTTTGTAGAAGTTACACATTATAAACCTTGTTTCAAACCAGAGAAAACAAACAAACTACTTTCGTTAGTGTTGACTATTCTCTATAAATTAACTTAGGACCGATAGGAACTTTGTGCATGATGACGGCAAGAGCAATGGGTGTCGCACAGGTTGCTATCACAGATTTGGATTCAGCTCGACTAGACTTTGCAAGGAAACTTGGTGCAGATCACACTATTTGCGTTAAGTAAGGATGTTGCTTCTCGTCTAGGTCTAATGTGGCTTGGATTGTTTTTTACAGAAATATGTCGGTGACCGAAGTTCGTAAAAGAGTAATAGATTGCCTGAAAGCAGAGCCTGCTGTAACAATAGAATGCACTGGGACGCAGCCATGCATAGAAGCTGCAATTTTGGTATCAACCATGACAATA